ATATATGCGTGTACATATATGCGTGTATATGTACATATATGTACACACATATGTATGTGTGTACTTATATGTGTGCATAGGCACACACCTGCAGCCCTACTGTGCGCCCGACAAGCCCCACGAGGGCTCCCTGCGCACGCACACCTCCGAGAAGCGGGGGAGCAGCTGGGCCCGCCGCTGCACCTGTCCGGTGCCTGTCCCCTAAGCCGCTCGGCACCCCGACATAAGGACATGCGGGGACTCCAGGCCCCACTCCGGCACCCTCCCCGGCTGGGCCTCGGCATGCCCGTCCATAAAACCCCGGGCCACGGAGGCCCGCCGCCATTGACTTGGTTACACCCGCCCGGACATCCGGACTTAGACTTAAGTCCTGATAACTATTTGCCAACAAAGACCTGCGGCGTGCAAGGGGCGGAGCCTAGGAGTCGCATATCGCGAGACCTGGCGCACGGCGCAAGCGCATTGCAGCTTCGGCGCCGGGCCGCCGAGAAGCAGCAGGAGGAGGCGGGACTGGAGCGTTGCGGGGCAAACCTCGCGAGATTTTATCACGTCACTTCGATCCCTTCCTGCCAGCGGCCGGAAGGGCGGGCTGAGAAGCATCTGTGGCGCTCGCTCGGTTGTGCCGCGGGGACTCCGGGCCCTTGTTCCTGCCGCTGACTGCTCGGCTCGCGCTGCGCGTCCTTCCTCCGCGCGGAAGTGATGGGGGACGCCAAGGATGCCGGAGCCGAGGCTCCGCCGGCCACCGTGGCTGCCCGAGGTGGGCTCAGCCTCCTGTCCCAGGCGGAGTCTGAGGAGCCTCCTGCACAGGTGGGTGCTCGGCTGGACGGGACCCGCGAGGTTCAGGGGTCCCGGCCCGGTGGGGGGTGGTGCCACGGAGCTGTTGGAACCTTCTCCGCGACTCTTTCCGAACAGGAAGTCGCCGGGTACTTAGTGTCACCTGCGTGCTGAACCTAAGAAAGCCAGATCCGCTGGAATTGGAGTTACAGGCAGTTGTGACCCACCTGCTGTGGGTGCTAGAAACTGAACTCAGGTCCTCTGCAAGACCAGGAAGCGCTCTTGACTACTGAGCCATCTCTTCAGCCCCTGTATACTCATGTATTGAAACAGGATCTCACTACCTAATCCTGGCTGGTCCTCCTCCACATGCTGGGGCACAGGTGGCCACCACCATGCCCCGTGTTTTTTAAAGGCAGATTGGTTGGCCTTTTTCCCAGCTGAGAAACGCAACCACATTGCTGCTTGATTCTTGTTTTTGCCTGGAACTCAACTATGAAAACCAGGCTGGCCTCCACCTCAGAGAACAGCCTGACTCTGCCTCCCAAGTTTGGGAACTAAAGACCTGTGCCACCACCCCCTGCTGATTCATCCTTTTTAAATGACATGAAAAAGAGCTAAGTAAGCATGATAACTTAGGCTTGAACTTATTAAGTGTTGCTGGTAACATGAAGCATAGGTTCCTGGTGAAGCCTGATTTGGTGAGTTCTTGTTTGATTTTTCTATCCTAGCAGTATCCACTAACGTTTCCTTCCAACTGTTAATTAGGGATCAGGTTTGTTTCTCGGAGGCAGTGAAGTGAAGAGCCGAGCTGTGGTGAAGTGCTCTTCTGCCCCTCCTCGAGCAGCTTTCGCCCGACTCGAGGAGAAAACAGACTTGAAACTCCCACCTGCCAACTGGTTACGGGAGAGTGCCAAACTGGGGCCAGCGGGAACGACCATTCTTGGTAACAGTAAGAAAAGCAAGCCATTTTCAAGGTATACTTTAATAGTGTCGGTTTTTTTTTCCCTCCTCTCCACCTCTCATTTAAAGCTCTTAGTACTTGGCTCTTCAGTTTGAAGTGCACATTAATTTGCTCAGAATTTTATTTTTTTAATTTTTTTTTTGGTAAAAGATTGTGGTGGTTGTTCAAAGACTTCTCCCCAGATAACAATATGATACAATATGAAGATACCAATTTCATATACTTTTTTTCAAGTCTACAGCATGTTACTATAACAAAAGTGAGTGTTGAATGGTAATCAGGTCTTTTAGCCAGTTTGTGTTAGTTTTGAGTATGGGAAAACAAGCAATCACGGTGGCATACAAGGAGGAAAGCCTTACTACTACCCGATCTGCACTTTGGAGTCTTTAATTAAATGGTGATGGGATATCTAAGAAGGCCTGTTGTAAAAGCCCCCCGTGGTGGGTACGTTACACCCTTGACCTGGTACTGGAAATTCTGCTGGTGGTTTTATATTATTGTGCCCATATTCTTGTAGGCCATTTACTAGGAGGGGGGTTTTCACTCCCTGAATGACTAGACTCAAAGTATTTCCATACAGTTCATATAGCAAGAACTGTAAACATGTTGATAGCCTGTGAATGAGCAGTTTGGAAATTATCCTGATGCCTCAAAGGGTTAAAAGCTATATTTACAAATTGTTTATAAGCCTGGCATGGTGGCACACACCTTTAATCCCAGCACTCAGGAGGCAGAGACACGTGCATCTCTGTGAGTTGAGGCCAGCCTGGTCTCCATAGGGAATCCTGGTCAGCTGTGGCTACAGGGAGACCCTGTCTCAAAAAGACCAAAAAAAAGTTTATTTGTAGCATTATTTATGCTACCAAAAAGCAGGAACTAGCCTATGTATTTTCTCCTAGGAAAATGGCTTGATTACACTACTTGTTATTAGTTGATATAAATGATAATTATATTGACTATAAACACTGTTCTAGGTATTTTGTTATGTAATTTTCTCAAACATCTTTTGAGATAGGCACTGTTAACTATTTGCACACAAGGAATCAAAATTAACACCCAGAGTAAAATCATACACACATAGTATGTAATCCTGGATAAATATCCTCAGTCTGCTAATTAGTTCACTTACTAATTGGAAAATGGTGAGGACAGAGCTTTGCAAACTTGTGGACTAAACATAGATGTGCCTCATGTGATACTTGGAATGAGTTATGTACCTACTGTTTTTTTCTTTTTTCCTTATGGTTGAGTTGATGTTGCTATAAGGGAAATTTTCTTTCTTTTTTTTTTTTTTTCTCCCCATGTAAAAAGAATGAAATCTTGAACTATTTTACTTTGGAGAATGTTGGGGTTTATAACAATAAATAGTAATTGATTTGCATGATTATTACCGCTTCATGAAGTCCAAGATGCTGTTGATTTTTAAGGTGTGCCATTATTTTATGTACTACTAAGAAGGAAATAGTTGGCAACTATATGGTGACATGCAGCAGATCTTGGGCTTCGGATATGCTTTTCCTAGAAGCAGTGAAATGTGACACATTCTGTTTTAACTTTAAATCCGTGGACTTTTTTTCTTTGGCAGTTTTGGCATGGCGTACGACTTCATTGACTCAGTGGGAAATGATGTGGATGTTGTTTCTGACTCGGAAGTAAGTGTTATAATTTAATGTAACTTTGGGGGTGTTCGGTGCTAGCTTTTTATTATTTTCCATGTTTTGTTTTGCATTTGTCTTGATATTAATGCTGAAATAAGTAAGAATTATCTCATTGGATGCTTTTTTGTTGTTTTGAAAATACTTTTATCCTTTCTTCAAAGAAGAGAGCACAATTCCAAAAATGGTGGTGGTGATAAAAAGATTAGTATAGCTGGGTGGTGGCGCACGCCGTTAGTCTCAGAACTCAGAAGGCGGAGGCAGGTGGGTCTCTGTGAGCTTGAAGCCCGCCAGGGCTACATAATCAGACCTTGCCTCAAGAATATAAATATCAACACTAATGGTTGTATTTTAACAGTAATCATTAAAACTTAATGTGTTTGAAGTTTTTCTTTTCTGTATATACTACAAATTGGGAATTATAATGATTGCCTAGTAGTCTGTTAACTTTTTTCTGATATGCTAAAGGCCTAGGTCAGTGCAACAGTGTGACCTGCACTCCTCCACCCCTGTGAAAGGCACTTCTGTTGTTCAAATGTTTGTCATTTACATTGACATAGTGTAACTCAAGGTTTTGAATGTCTGTCTTCCATGTGAGTGTTGTTCTTTGTGTAAAGTCTAGTTTGTATAATACCTTGAGAAAATAGAGAGCTTAGATCATACTAAAAGGGTCTTTCTAAATTTTTTTCTCTTACCTTTTTTTAAGAACATAAAAAAGCTCCTGAAGATTCCCTACAGCAAGTCCCACGTCAGCATGGCTGTGCACCGCATAGGAAGGACCCTCTTACTGGATGAGCTGGACATCCAAGAACTCTTCATGAGGTCCTCACAGGTAGTGGTTTTTGCAAAAAGCATCCAGAAAAACGTTTCTTTTTATAGCTCGGGAGCACTGAAATATGGCTTTATTTTAAAGAAATGTCTAAATGGAGCTTCAGATCCCCAGAACTCATGTAAAAAGCCAGGCATGGCCATGCAGGCCTGTAACCCCAGCACTGGGTAGAGGAGGCAGTATTCCTGGGGTTTGCTAGCCAGGTTGCCCAGAGGAGGGGGCGAGGGGGATGGACAGACTAATGCACAGGACACAGGAGGGGATGATTCAGTATAGACAACAAAAAGCCACAAGCTCCAGGTTTGGTTAGAGACCCTGTCTTAAGGGAATAAGCAGAGTGTGGCAGAGCAGGCCTCTGGTAAACCTCCTCTAGCTTCTCTATACATGTCTTAATACCATGCTCTCACAATGGCACACACACAAATTAAAAAAAAAAAAATCACCAGAGTGGACATGTAGCTGAGTACTTCAGCAGTCAAGAAATCAAAGACCTCCAGATGTGGTGGAACAGTCTTTTAGTGCCAGCACTCGGGAGGCAGAGGCAGGTTGATCTCTGAGATCAAGGCCAGCCTACTCTACATAGTGCCAGGCCAGCTGGGGCTATAGGGAGACCCTGGCTCAAAAAAGAAAAAGAAACGAAAGGCTTCACTAATGTTTAAAAGACCATACCAACAAAAAACTTTTGAGAAAAAGAAAAATGGAGAAGAGAATTTAAACAAACTCCCAAAAGCTAAGATTCCCAGAACTAGAGAGATGGCTCAGCAGTAAAGAACGTTATCTGCTCTTACAGAAGACTGGGGTTAGCTTCCCAACACCCATAGATAGCTAACAGCTGTCTATAACTTCAGTTCCAGGGGACCTAACACCCTTTTTTCTGGACTCGACATTGCACGCATGGTACACTTAGTTACATACAGGCAGAACACTTGTACACTTAAAAATAGATGAAATTTCAAAAACAGAATTTCTGGGCTGGAGAGATGGCTCAGTGGTTAAGAACACTGGCTGTTCTTGCAGAAGACTCGGGTTCAAATCCCAGCACCCATATGGCAGCTAACAATTGTGCATAACTCCATTTCCAGGGGATCCGACAGCCTCTTCTGTCCAACACGGGTGCACTTAACCTACGTGCAGGCAGTACACACATACACATAAAAATAATAAATAAAATATTTTTTAAAACAATTTCTTCTTACAAGGAAAGAATAAAGTCAAGAAAGGTTTTTGTTTTGTTTTTTAATGTGAAATTTAGGGGCTATTTAATTTTGAAAACTTTTAATATCATTATAGATGTACTCTAGAATCATGGCTGTCAAAAAATGTGAAAAATGGGCCAGGTGTGATGGCACACACCTTTAGTCGCAGCACTCAAAGTCAGAGGCAGGTAGGTCTCTTAGATTGAGGCTGGCCTGGTCTACATAGCCAGTTTCAGGCCAGCTGGGCCTACAAAGAGACTTTTTTAAAAAAAAAAAAGAAAAAGAAAGAAAAATATTATAAAGCTATTTCTGTGAATATAGTTATTAGATTTAACTGATTTTTATAGTCTGGCTTTTCATAGTGTTGGTCAGCAGATGTTTGCGTTGAAGATGGTTTCAGCTTCTCGGGTCTGTATTAGTTCTCATGGAACCGTAACAAGCTGTCAATGGCTCTGCCAGTCTGTATTGCTTTTCAGTGCATGTTCCTGCAATGTGTTTTTGTTTACAATACCAGAGATTGAACCTAGGGCTTCACATGCAAGACACATGTGCAGCCACTGAGTTTTACTCAGCCTTTAATTAATTAGTTAATTTAAAGACTAATTGCCAGGCTGGCTTGAACTCATTTGTAGTACAGGCAGGCCTTGAACTTGGAATTCTCCTTCGTCAGTCTCCCAGGAACCTGGGATTACAGGCTTGGCTCCCACAATGCTTTGATTAATTAAATTGATGTTTAAAATAGTTTTCCCTTGGAAAGGAGCACAGTGTAACTCAGTCCATGTGCATCCGCTGAGCACTGAACCAGGTATTGGGATGTGGCAGTGAGCGGGTCACAGTCCTTGCTCGGTAGCTCACAATTTGGTTAAGACAGACACTGATGTTTGAATAAAGTGTGCAGAGTAGGGCATACTGCAGCCAGCACAGAAGATACTACAGGAAAAGGTTACCGCTCCAGGCTTAGAAGAGAAGTGTGCTTTGTGAAAGAGATGTGAACAGGATGTAGAAAGACTGAAGTGCTTTGGATGTACACCTTATGAAACCATATCCAAAAATTAGAGCATCTACTTGTAAAAGCATCTCAGATGCTGTTAATCAGTTTTTTTCACAATGACA